GAGTTTCGTTCCGTTCCCTCGCATCGATCAGGTCGTGGGCGCACTCGATAAACTCGCGGTCTCTGGGCAGTGATCCCGGACGGTCCAAATAATGATTTAGTTGTACCTTAAGCACGCCCCTTAGAAACTCCATCTTCTGGGCTCCCTCCGCCTGGCCGCATGTTTCCACCATCTTCTCCGTCAGTCTATTGTATAACACCAATAGTTTTTCGGCGAACTCGCCTTCCGATTGGCCCTGGGTTCTGCGCTCTTTAAACAGATAAAAAACGTCCTCTTCCGGGGTCCACCTGCCACCGCCGTATAGCTTCTTGAGCCGTATCTTCAGCGTCTCCCAGGAGACCGTCAAATCGCCCTGTACGGCGTTCAAAACCCGCCTCGAGATACGCCCAATCAAAGAGGCTTCCAATATTTTTACGTCAGACTCAAGCAACGTGCCTGACTCCTGTCTGGCGGTAATCAAAGTCTTAATCTGGTCACCGCCTTTGATAAAGTGTTCGAGATCACCTACTACACCTGTGAACGGTTCTAACTGGCTAATTACCTCGTGAATAAATGCCGAGTTCTGCGTCCTTATCTTAAGCAACTCGATCTGCGTGTTTTCGGTCGCTTTCGATAGCTGCGTTTCTAGTTTCTGACGCTCCGCTTCCAACTTCTGTCTCTCCACCGTAGACTGAGCAAGTTGGTACTCCAGCTTTTTCAATTGTTCTTCCATCGTAATTGTCGCGATTAGAAGCTTGTGTGGGTTCGCCTAGTGATTCTTCCGAAATTCGCGATACTATTAACCGCGCGGTAAAATTCGGAATTCCTCCCGGGTTTCGGCACCACTTACGATTAGACTGAAAGAATGATCGAAAAAAAAGGGGTTTTAGGGCATAGTAACAGTACACAGGTTCGTGAGCAACTGACTTTATTATCTACTTATCCAATATATATAGATACGGTTTGTTTTTATTTACAATGCTTTGTTAATCTTATTAGTAACACAGTTCCTATTATTGTTTATGGCTTATACTCAGCTAACTTATATATATATATATATATATATATATATATCGTTATATATATATATATATATATATATATATATAACGATAATTTACATTGAAAGAAAAACAAAGAAACTAACTACCTATAAGAAATTGTGTTTAAGTGATTCTTAAGGTCCTATTAAATATAACAATAATACTTTTTCGAAATAATTTTTTTATATTTTTTTTGTAAGACATGAATATATTTTAAAATTTTTGGAGAGGGCTTCAGCCCGAAAGCCCCTAGCTCCGCCTGTTAATTCCGCCATCCTATAAACAGTTCATTAGGATATTATTGTAATTTATGGAGCTCAAACTTGGAAGATAATACCGAAGGTTAACAGTTGCTGCTGAGTATGAGATTTGTTGTACTTTGTTGTACGGATACATCAAAGTACATTGTGCTTAATAAGCGGCTTAATGTAAGCTCGAGAGTTGGATAATGTGAGTTATAAACTTAGGTCGTAGTTATAACGCGTGACGTAATCGCATTTACGGATAACAGATTTTAATTCTGGAAGCTGATTTGACTTTTAGTTACAAAGGTCCGTAGCATTATTTTAATCTTGCAATGAAAAAAATAATGGAGAATAAATTACATAAAAAACAACAATCCTCGAAAATGTTTTCTGATTATCGAAATTTTTTTTATACATACTTATATTAAAATATATAAATAAATACATATTTATAAATATAAATATATGTTTATAATATGATTTACATGTAATTTGTCTTAGTGCCATTAGTGTGCTAAAGCCGTCTGATTTGCAAAAGGTCCCTTAGATCAGACATTCGAGACTGACCCACCTACACCTCATCACTAAAGCTGCACTAGATTAGATTAGATGCCAGCATTGCAATAGTATCCGGCCCATAGCCTACATTTCCCAACATTGCTCGATTAACATTCGAAAATTAAATGATATGGGGATATTGCAGAACGATAGCCTTGTGAAACGACAGTAATAGATCCGACAAAATATTTCTGAGCAGCGTTAATTTATTTTAAAAAATATAATAATAATTTGTATTTATAATTTTTTCTTTTATATATATATACAAGCTCGGTGATAGGATACTGAGTTTCCTATGCTAAATGTTCCAGGTTCGAATCCCGGCTCATGGCAGAAAAATTATTTATTCTGTTTCATTGGTCGTGGGGCGACCCTGGGTAGGTAGACCCTCCTGGGCCACACCCAGCCTCTATAAAGTGGGTACCCTTAATTAAAATAATTAATTAAGGGGAAAAACCTGGCGTTTGGAGGTGATCTCAGTCAAATCACCTCCTTGCACATTCGTAGAACAAGAAGCAGTGCTTTCCCTAAATAGTACTGAACCCAAGGCCCTTCATGGGTTGTAGTGGTACAGGTTATATATATATATATATTATTTATTTATTTATGTGTATCTTATTTTTTTATTTTTATCTATTATTTTTTGTATACCTACCACCTAAATATTTAAATAATAATATTATTTCATTAATTGGACGCTGATGACCCAGATAGTCCGTGGTACAGACCCCTTTTTATCAAATTATTAAGATCCGGCTGAAACTTCATAAATTAGCTTCTTATCTTAATCTTATGTAACCTACAAATATTTTATTTATGAAAATTCTCGGAATTCGGGCGTTTTCAATATGGACGTCGGTAAACTTTGTCTATTTAATTCCATTCTAAAAACTCGTAAATGCCAATTTGTTTTCCACTTAAATCATAAGATAACTTGAGCACAAAGTCGATACAAAAGGTGGCCTTCAAACATTGAGCCGTTTGGCGTAACCTACAACCCGAAATATTTTTGTAGGCCATTTTTTAATAGATTTTTTAATCAAATTATCTGACGATCCAGGTGGAAAGCAAATTAGTAATTACGAGTTTTTAGTACCTAATTAAATAGACAAAGTTCGCCGACCTCCAGATTGAAAACGCCCCAATTTCGAGAATTTCATAAAGAAAATATTTGTAGGTTACGATGAGATGAAATTATTTACGAAGTTAAAGACGGATGTTAATAATTTGATAACGGCCAGCTATACAGACTACTAAACAGAAAATCCAAACTTTCTATTGAAAACAAATTACTTATCTACAAGACAATACTGAAACCTATATGGACATACGGACTTGAACTGTGGGGAACAGCAAAAGCTTCTAACATCAAACGTATTCAATCCTTTCAATCTAAAGTCCTTCGAACAATAGTTGATGCTCCGTTCTATGTAAATAACAAAATCCTACACCATGACCTTAATATCCCATTTGTCCTAGACCTTATTCCAGAAAAATTCTCCAAATTTCACCAAAACCTTACCTATCATCCAAATCCCCTTGCACAATCTCTATCCAGCACCACCCATCCTTACAATCCTCCTCGAAGGTTGAAGCGGCAGTGGCCCAGAGACCTTTTGTAAATAAGCATCTATTGGAGTTTTGGCAATGGCCAGATCCTCCACTCAAGCCCGAGTGTGTATGATTAGGTTAGTTCTTTTGTTTATATACATTTATTTTATTTTATTGTATTTATTTTTATTTTATTTTATTGTATTTATTATTATTAAGTTTCTGTATTATTTATTTTATTTCTAATTGTAAATAGAGTGTGAGTGTGCTTTCTCTGATCACTATTATAAATGTCCTTGATGTGACAGAATGTAATATTTCTAAATAAACAAATATATAATAAGAAAAAAAAAATAATAATTTGATAAAAAGGGGTTTGTACCACGGACTAAGATGTTTTGCGCCAAAACAACCAACCAACTTGGTTTATTACTCCTATTCAGTACCGAAGATAGCAGTAAAATATACAATTGGTAGTACCGGAAAAGTAACAAAAATAACACTAATTTTTGCTCGAATCAATTCAGATTGACTTTGTTCAAAATTCGTTACTAAGAGTCAAACGATTAAATAAATGAAAGGAATAATATCTAATCGTTAAATGAATGAAGGAAATATTTACTATTATTATTTATTAACATAAAATTGGACATAAAAAATTAAATTTGCGATCTACAAATTACTTTGCAATGAGAAAATGTTTTGGCAGCTTCACAGCGTTCCATTACAATCCAGGAAATAGTTCAGTTCAGCAGATCTCTTGGCCACCGCCTACGTAATCGTCGAGGTGGGCTGTACAGGTTTCTGGTGCTTTTAAGATTTTCTGTCAGAGGATTTATGTTTTAAGTTAGTCTTTGGTGAAATTTGTAGTTTTCTTTTTGTAGTGTCGGAAATTGTTGGGATGTTCATGTCTTTATGTAAACTGTCGTTTGCGACATAAAATGGTGCGTCAACTATTCTTCGTAAAATTTTGGATTGGAAAGACTGGATTTTTTAATATTAGAAGTTTTAGCAGAACCCCACAGTTCTATGCCATAAGTACAAAATTCTATTCGCGTCTGAGTTTTTCCTTTTTTTTTTTTTTTTTTTTTTGTTGGAATAAGACTTCTATTGAAGTCCTACACTGCCCATATCGTTATATTATCATAACGAATACTGAAGGTACTAATATCTATATTTTGAGGAGTATATTCTGCATTTTTCTAAGAATCAGGATAAATGTTGAATTATATTTCTGTCAAGATCCACATGCTGTTGGTGGAAGGCGTTGTGGTTTTGAATTGCAGGGAATTTTTTTTTTTGGTAATTGTCATATTTGCTACATTCATGTATAAAATGTATTTATTAATTTTAGTTAGTGTTAAGCCGCGGATTGCACGACACCGTTTTATTCTCAATCTTATAATTATATAGTATATTAAAAAGAAAAGAAATATCTATTCTTTTCTGTTTAACGTTACATTAATGTAAGTGAGCCATAGGCGTATAGAGACAGATTTATTTGCGTTTTTTAGTCTTGTAAATATTTTAGAACTATATTAAATATTAAAACATTCAACTAAACTCACACATGTAATTTTTATCACTAATCTTTTCTTCTTATTTCTTTTTTTTTTTTTTACAGATTAAAATATTTCTGCTGATGGCCTTCCTAAAGTTTCCTACGGCTTGGACTCTTCTCGGCCTAATCTTCATGGGCGCATCTGTTCCTCACCATTGCGTCGGTAGCGACAAGGAATGCGAAGACGCAAGTGGAAACGCCTGTACGGTTTGGGAGTACAACCGGACCGTGTTCAAAGAGACAATAAATACAGAGGTGAGATAAATATTTTTCTTGATAAATATTTGATTCATTTAAATTTAATTTAAAATTGAAATACTGCTGTTACATTTTCATTAGAGTTATTTTAGAATAAAATCTGCAAGAAATGAAAAAGTGATATTTTAATTTTCCAAAGGCACATTGTTGTATAAAATAAGCATAACAGAATGTTTATGAACATTATAACTATATTCAGGCAGAAATTATGGTGCTACTTTGTAGGAAGCCGACCCTTATAATTTATTACCTCTATAAGCAGTAAAACGAAGTTCCTTTCGTAATTACACTCAGAAAAGGGCTATATACTGACCCTGTATTACATCTCGTGTATGTGTAGTATTTAATTTTCTTTTCATAAAGTTACAGACAGAAACGAAGGGTTCTTTTAAGGAATTAGCTTTAAACTTTATGTAATATGTGAAATCATAATACACAATAAATAAGTTTCGTTAGCTACTATTGACTTATCCATTAAAAGAACAATACCTCCATGACATTTACCACGAATCATTATGTAATGGAGAGTATTCGGATGAGTGACCACACTTTGCACAGCTGTCCGAATTATCAAACGACTTCTCGAGTAAGGGACACATACCAGGCCCTCATTCTCCTCCACTTTGACTATGAGTGCCTAATATATGGAGAACTATCTAGCGAACAGGAAATAAGACTGAAAAGATTAATGAATTGTTTTATGAGAATTACTTTTGTTAATCTCAATTGCTCCACTTGTATTCCGAGAAAGACTGACTTCTAAAGCTCATAATTTCCGAAAACAATAGCTTTTCACCTTGCGTTTTTCTTATCCAGGTCTTAAACACGAGATCTCAACCTTTCGATTCGATTATCATCTCTCACAGAAAACCTTCCTTACAAAAACCCTTTATAATCCTAGCTACTTGGAATTCCCTCCCTACCTCCATCCCTATCTCACTCACAAACCTCATTCAAAGACCACTAATTTCTCCATCTCCTCAGTTTTAACCTTTTATACACATATTAAGTACAAATGTCCATGTGAATGCAAATATGTATACATATCTGTACATATATAGTAATAATAAAGTTTTATGAGGAGTTGGTGGGGGGTCATATTATATCACGGTCAACCACACGGTCTACATCATAATAATGTTCTATTTTCGTAAATGATAAATTACATTTCTAAAATCTAATAACAAAACATTGATGCCTTTGTTGGTTATCCGTCAGCCAAAGTCAGTTGTCGATCTTGACATTGAATAATATTTACATAGAAATATATATATATATATATATATTCCCCCTCTACTTCCCGTTATTATGAAGAGCTTAAATAGCTTTATCCTTCCTACCGACGTATTTCCTAGCATCCTTCCTCTTCCAAGTCATCTAATCCCGCCGTCCTTCATACATCTTCAAGCTTCTTCAATTCAAAACCTCTGTCCTTTCCCGCAAAACCCGTCCCCTGTCTTCAGATTTGTATACAATATCCCACCGAACCCATTTTATTTTTATTTATTTATTCACACCTTTCCTTGCCTTACGGCAATACGGGTTTTGGTGAGGGTTGTATTATAAATAATATATCTATCACGCTACCCCGTAATATATCTATCCCACCGAATCGCTGCTTTCGACAGATCTTTCATTATTCGATCCGCATCCCTATGGAATTCTATCCCATCCTACATCTGTCGCTCCAATACTCTCCCCACAACTTTAAATCCTGCCTATTAAATCACCTCTTATCCATTCAGTTCTCATAAAATTGTAAATATATATATATATCAAAAGTTTGTTTTAAATACTTTTATTTAATTTTTTTTCTCTTAGTTAAAAGATTGAATATTCCTCTATTTTATTTATTCAGTGCATAAATCTGTTAATTTTGTAATCTTTATCTGACGCTCCAAAGCCCACATTTCTATATCTGTACATTATTCATATGTATCTCTGTACATCATATATATATATATATATATATATATATATATATATATATATATATATATATATATATATTGTGAAATAAAATACATATTCTTAGAGTATAATTCCCCGTAATACAATAAACAAAATATTTTACACTTGTAACTATACACACACACTCCCAACTACAAATCATACGTATTTCCTTGCCTTCCCATTGTTTACATATCGCTATTGTTAGTGCAAAAAGTCGTTTGTAAAAATTGAGTTTTTTTACAGAACATAAAAATTGATTATTTCTTTATGATTTAATTATATAATTTCATATTTTATTTCCTAATACTATTTTCCATAGTAGCAGACTATTACAGTTGCAGACTACAGAATATCACCTTTGTACAAGCACAAATAGAATCAATACAGAAAATTATTACATACGACCTTTTGCACTTACAGAAGCAATATATCTCTTACTTTATAAACTGTAATTAAACTTCTATCTCTATAATTCGAGGCCAATTGAGAATATTTTATATAAAGCGTTTTTTTCATTTGATTGTTCGATTACTGCTTCCATAGTCAGTACGTCTCTACGAAATAATTTTTTTTCCGGAATTCCGATAGTCCGACCGACAGCTATAAAATGAAAATTATTTCTTGCCTGGTTTAGATTACTCAGTGAAGAAATGTTGACCCTCGTTATATATATTTTATAATTTAGGTTTAATAAGTCATACCTTACTTTAAAAATCCAACTTATATCAGTAACCCTCATTATTCCGAAGGAGTAAATCTTATTTCTACCATCCTGTAATTTTTCATATGGAAAAAAATTGTTTTTTTTATTAACTCTCTCCATGTTTTATTTTCGCATGTGCATTTATGTATATATATACTAATTTTCTGTCTTTATTCACTTCAACTATTATTTGTTTTCTTACTTTTACAGTAATTCAGAAACTATATTTACATAACGATTAATTTTTTTTTTGTAAAAGTTTTATATCAAGCATTAATTTGTCTTTATTGAAGAGAAGTTGGTTGCGGATTGCATTCATTGGAATTACAAAGTAAAAATAAATTATATTAATTTTGGAAAAAAAGAAAATAAACAATATCTTCCAACTGTCAACAATTATCCACCATTACAAAATATGTCTTTAGCTTATAGCTTATAATTTAATCAACATAATTGTTGTTAAACGACCAATACTATATTTACACTACTATATTTAAAAATAAACTTAAGCATATGTTTATATATTAGTTATTATTATTATTTTTTTTTTTGAAAGGAATTTATATCATATTTTGTCTTATTATCAATAATGAACCATTGTAATCGAACAAAATATTCAAAAACTTAACCCCCTCTCAAAATTTGAGGTTTTACGTTTCAGAATACGTAGAATTCGAAAAAACAATGAAAATTTTTTGTCCGTCCGTTCATTTTCTCCGAAACTACAGTACCAATTTTATTTTAATTTGGATTTAGAATCAGAGGTCACCCGAGGATGATCCTCCTTCATCGACATTACTATCCGCCTTTTACTTTCAAAATGACGGCCGAAAACCTGTGTTGCTATAGACTGTAGCGCCTAAACGAATGTATCGATTTCGATTAAACTTGGCTAAAATCTTCTTCTTGATGGCCTTTAAATTTATCTATATAACATACTTCAACGAAAAGAAGCTGTGAAAAAAGTTACGAGGGATGGTAAAATAAAATTCCGAATAACTTTTAAAAGTTTACGGATTTTCCTATAAAAAAATTGGACAATTAGGAGCGAAGATATGGTCTCTAGCTTTTTTTTCATGTTCTACTGCTAATTCTTTGTTTTTTATTTTAATTTTTTAATGTGCTATTGAAGTAATTTTTTTTTTTTTAGCGAATTACTACTGATAAAAAACATGTTTAGGCAAATAATTGGAATTCACTTTTTATTTATCTTAATTTGTTACTAGAAAGGTAATGTTAATTTATATGTAAAATTGTTTGGAAATAATAAACCATTGTGAAATAATTTGCAGCGTTTTTTTTTTATTTTTATTTAAAGGTTTGAGACAATGTGATGATCTCTCAATGCTTCAAATTTAGCGCGGAACATGTGATAATATCTTCATGTAAAAATGAAAGGGTGAACGTGAATAAGTCATAAAATCCCAGGAAATGTTGCTACATACGATTATCTTATATAATATAAATTAAAATTTCAATAAAAGGCACGTAGGGCGCGGTAAAATACTTGCCTGTTACTTCTAGGAATTAAACTTAGCTTTATCTAGTCGACGTTTCTTATGTTCTTATGTCTTTTACAAAAGACTCATATATATTACTACAATAAGGTATATTTGGACTCACGGGATCGAGCTTTGGGGCTCTACTAAACCATCATATTCCTCTCGTATCCAATCCATAATCTTCACTGCTCCCTACTTTGTCTCAAATAAAATCATCCATAATGACCTTAATGTACCATGTTTCCGATTTACCTCAATCCAGATACCTATCCTTCCATAATAAACTTCTGAACCATCCTAACCCTCTTGTTTCCAACCTTGCTTCCTCTTCTATTCCTGATAACCCTCCGAGGCGTCTGAAAAGAAGATGGCCTCGGGACCTTCTAAATACAGAAATATAATTGGAGTGCTACCAATGAGTAGTTTCTCTTCATGTTGTACATGTCATGTTACTTTTTTCATATTTACTTGTTGTATTTATCATTTAATACGTTATAAATTACGTTGTAAATTTCAATAATTATAAAAAAAAATATTTAGTCCTTTGAAATATTGGACGGCAGTCACCCGATCCCACTCGAATTACGCGCCTATGGGTGTGTGCTCTATAATCATTATTATAATTATTCTTTATTGAGGTGGAATGTAAAATTTCTCAATAATAAGGATACACAAACATAAAATGTATAATTTAATTTTCTCAGTGGAACTAGGCAAATGCTGGTTTTAGTATACTTTACGTTATTCTTAGGGAACTAAATGTACTAGAATAAATTAAATTTTTTCTTTCGAAAGACCAAGTGGAAGGCCTATAAACAGGTGGACAGATCAAATCAGCAAGAAAAAAAAAAATATATTTATCAGAAGTAGATTGGACATAATAGATTCGTTCAACGCAGATCTATTAAAAATATTAAAACGCTTGGTTTCTAAAAAAAAAAAAAAAAAAAACTAACACTGCACGAGGTTTGAATACAGAACTAACCAGCTCAATCGACTAGTTGAGCCGAGTTTCGCTGAGGACTGTAAAGGGCGAGTGCTGAATACTGAATACAGAAGAGAGGAAGTGAGTTGGAAGAGACATTGAACTGGGAAGAGCTATCTGGGTCGCCGTAGGTGCTCGCTAGCGAACTGGAATCTATTAGAGCTCATATCGGCTCCTATGGAATGGCTTCATGCAGGATCGAGAGATTTAGTACCTTCGATTACAGGGGTCTGCCATAGTGCTTGCCGTAGCAAAATTTTATTCCATTATATATATATTTTAAAAAGGTAATTCATTTTAAGACTTTATATAAAATGTCTCTTCTCGTTGAATTGAAGGAAATAAAAAATAAATTTAAAAAAAGTGAAAGACGACTATCTATTTGATTACAATGCCATTTCATTTTCTCAGCTTCCTAAGATGGAGGAAGTCAGATAAACGGCCTAAATAGCATATAAATTTTTTAGATCTTACTCAATAATTTATTAAAAGAAATTATTATAATTCTTATTATCGTATACAATATATAATAACAAAATATATTATTAATATATTTGTTTATTTTATTTATTTTTTAAATTTTATTATTTGACTTTTTTTGAACTTCAGTGATTTTAAAACAGCCTTTGTCTCATTGTTTGTCTCATTCGATTTAAAATAGAAAACTACAATGTGTGCTTGTATCACATGAATAGAAATAATTAGAAGCAGTTTTACTGTCCTGATATGTCACCATAATAAAGGAAATATAAAATAAATACAGTAGGAGAAAAAGAAAAAATCACTACCAAATAAACAAGCACATACTTTTACTCTCTAAGCTCAGTTATTCGAACGAAAAACAAAACAAAGAGTAATGTGTGAGCTTTAGAGGTGAAAACATCAACAAAACGAAATTAATAATATGAATTATAAATAATTTACTCCTTCATTATCCAAGTGTTCAAAATAGTCGTTATTATTTGTTTTTGTTCTTTGGCGCTATCCTTTTCCATTTACGACTCCCTAACCAGGCATCGCGTCAAAATAATATCTTATAATAATATACCATTTTGAATAATATCTCATGGCAAAGAGGATGAAATACTGAAAATTTCCCTAGCTAAAAAACACGTTATCATTTAGTTTTTGTCATTATATATCATAGAAATATTCCTGTCATTTTTCAGAATGAGAAAATCTAACTAAACCTCCGAATGAATAATTGAAAGAATTAAATGAATGGTTCTACCAATTCTTTACATATAGTAACTAAAACCGTCTAGTGTTAGTAACTATTTTATCTTAATTTTTATTCATAAAAATGTTTTTTTTTTCTTTATCTTGCTCCTCGCCTGGCAAATATTAATATTTTTATTATTTGGAGAGTTTAGTACTTAAATATAAAATTCAACAAGAAACCCAACTGTTAGATTTAAGGAAAGGTTAAAAGGTTAAAGGACCGTACTGTATCTCAAAATAGTCTCATTTGTTCTTGTTCAAATGTTGTAGGTTCCACTCTTGGTCTTAGTCTTGCAACAAATAGGTCTTGTAAATTGCAGGATCAAGACCAGTTTTAGGCAACATAAGTAGCGAGGATGCGAAAATACGAGATCCTTCAAGTCTTTCAATTTTTACCAAGAATGGATCAAGCATAGGCATAAATCAAATTTGTCTTTGTGTTTAGCGTTTTAGTTGACTTCGAATCTAGATATTATAATAGAAAATAAGTTACGGAATATATCCTGTTTATTTTTTCTCTTCGTATTACAGACCTTATAGATCTTTTTCCACCTCAACAAGTCACTCTATCTCTGCCTATCTTAAGCTGTTTATTTCCAGTTATCTGTATGTAACTCTGTTGCTTCTATCAATTCGTCGGCTTTTCGGCCTCCCACGTGGTCGTTTGCCTACTATTTAGGTGTTCATTGTCATCCAGAGACTTTCTGATGGATTGCCCTGAGGTACATGTCCCGTCCATCCTTCCCTATTTGACTCCATATCATGAATTATTGATTGATCAGTTTTATTGGTCTTTCTCCTGAAGTGTTAATACTATGATCTCAGATCGCCCTGATTATCAAGCGGAATCTCTTAAATCTTTCAAGACTTTTTTTGAAGGCGCTGATTAGTGTCCAGGTCTCAAAGTCACATATTAGAAATGACAATTGAATCGTTAACAAAAAAAATGATCATAACAAATATTTGAATAATTACAAAAAATAATGTGCCTAACATTTTAAAGTTGCACCCTCTCATTATTCCATCTTGATATTTTAAGGCCAATTAGTCGTGAAACTTGTTTGCCATGTTCGTTCCTTAATTTTGAATTTACAGTACCCCTCTACTTTAGACAGGAGTAATTAATCCCTAATTCTACTTCAACTTTGAGGCTTTTATAATGATCTATAATAAAATAGTATAATACATATTAAATATTATAAGAACAATAGTATGAGATCGAGGTATAATTAAGATTATATATACATATGAATAAATAGAGAAAATAGCATATAAAATAATAAATAAAATATGAATAACAGTGTATGACTAACAATAAGATAGGTAAGTGTGACAAGAAGCAATGAGAGTATCTAACGAGCAACAATAATTGGATTGACTAGTAGTGTGACATAGGCATAAATTCAATAATAATAAAGTGTAATAATACTTAAATATGAAGTCTAATAATAAGGTGATGTAAGAATAAAAGAAAATTAATTAATAATCAACTTCACCCTAATCCACTTGTCCTCTCACTTCCTCCCTGTTACCAGGCGAGCCCCAAAGAAGACTGAAAAGGCAGTGAATGGCCTCTGCTCACAATATGAATAAATTTTCAAGAAATAGCAGACAAGACGAACGACAGCGCATTTGCTAGATACATTGAAACGCAGTTGCAAATATTATATAAAATAAATAAATAATTAATGAGGACTAATAAAACACAGTGATATAATAAAGGAAAGCATTATTATAGAAGAAGCGAAACTAAAACACTAAAACTAAGGTTGGGAGGAGGTGTAGATGATATGGCCGTCACATGTATGTTCAACAGACAGATGGATGAACACGGAACCAAATATTTGATTCGAATCATAGATTAGTATTTTATATATTAAGGAGTATTTTATATATTATCGCAAGAATATAAAATTGTCATACCTACCGTAGAGAGGAAGCAAGGAACTATGATATGAGTTTTTGTGAAATAATTTTAGTCTTACAACGGTTAGGCACGATAAAAAAAATTTTTATTCGTTTATGAATTCTACGTACCCTGAAACGTAAAACCTCAAATTTTAAGAGGGGGTTAAGTTTTTTAATTTTTCGGTCGATCACAATGGTTCATTATTGAAAATAATAAACCAAAAATATTTTAAAATCGCGATATCTCTACTAATAGTGCTTTGATTTCGATGAAACTTCCTTCATTTTTAGGAAATTTAAATACCTTTGAAACATCTTATCACAATATCGACAAAAAAGTGTATACTTTTTGAGTTATTCGGAATTTAATTTTACCATCCCTCGTAACTTCTTTTCCAGCTTCTTTTCGTTGAAGTATGTTATATAGATAAATTTAAAGGTCGTCGAGAAAATGACTTTAGCGAAGTTTCATTGAAATCGGTACATTCGTTTAGGCGCTACAGTCAATAGCAACGCAGGTTTTTCGGCCGCCATTTTGAAAGTAAAAGGCGGATAGTAATGTCGATGAAGGAGGATCATCCTCCGGTGACTTTTATATCCAAATTTAAAAAAAAATGGTCCTATAGTTTCGGAGAAAATGCGCGGACGGCAGACGGAAAAAAAATTATTATTCGTTTTTCGAATTGAATCTAAAACCTCAAATTTTGAGAGGGGTTAAGTTTTTGAATTTGTTAGTCGATCACAATGGTTCATTATTAAAAATAATAAACCAAAAAATTAATGAACTTAATTAAAGGTTACTTATATACAAATATGTACAGGTTTATTCTAAGACTTAAATAATAATGTACTATTTTTTTTTTCAGTGGGATTTGGTGTGCGGAAAAAGCCAGCTGGTTAACTTCGCCCAGATGACGTTCATGATAGGGATTATGTTCGGGACGTTTCTGTTCAGCATAGCATCAGACAGGTAGGGGGATCCTAACTCAGCTAAAACGGCATCTTCTTTTAGCTACTGTTGAATTATTAAACACCTGATGCCACCCTTTCCCCTCCTCCATTATACGTAATTATACGGTCCAGGAGCAGTTCAAAACAAACTGATGAATGAATTATTTTTAATTAAGAAGTTTTTGAGGCCAAATACTTTTTTTAAGCAATGTATATATAAAACTGCTGAGGTAATAGTATTGCACGGTTACTAAACTGTGTTGAGATGCTAAATAACACAGTATACTAATCAATCAACCGATAATATTTAAAAGATATATATATATATATTACTGGAAAAAATAAAAACACAGCATCAAATTGGATCACTTTGTACCACTTTTTGGATTTTCCGTGAAAAGAGTTAAATATTCTTTTAAAACGACCAGTGAATGACTTACTTAAAATTAGGATAACAATATCATGTGTATATTCAGACATCTTTACTGATGCATATCTTACCAATACCTATTTCACATTGTGGTTGAAAGACGGATAAAAACTTATCTTATAATACAGGTATATTAGTTACCTAAAATGTTCCACTAATTTGATCATAAAAATAAACTAATTATTACACTTCTAACGAACCGTTCGAATTCAATCATGGAGTAATGTTTGATTTTTCGAATGAACGAATCAATTTCTATGAATTTGTAATATTTGAACGTTTAGGAGATGCTTTTTACTCTCTTCAGCATGTTATATACCCCAGCCCAGTAAGGCAAATTCCTACTTGTAATACTACTTTAATTAAGTTTGTTCAATGTCAACAGCTATTGACCGAACCTTGTTAAAGCAGTATTATAAGTTGGGAGTGCCCAAAATAACTGGGCCATTCTGAAGAGGGGACAAAACATCCTAATTAAAAGATTTAAACCCTTTTGTTTTTGATCGTTTAAATTGTGGCCTGTGGACAAAGTTGGAGAGAAATATTTCATAATGAAAGATGAAACTAATTAATTATTATTATTACCAATCATATTTTTTCTTGGTGCGATTTTCATTTATAAACAACTGATAATATGTTAAAAGAATATTGTTTTTCTCTTTTTAACTTATATAACTAATTGGTCCAAAAAAAAAAAATCATAAATATTTTTCAGTAGATATCTTCCAAATTCAGTCGACAGAACTTAAAACTTTTTTGTTAAAATAAGGTTCTAAATAAATAAATAATAACCAAAGACAAGCATAGTACGTTACCTTGGACTAATATTTGACAGAAGTATGACCTAGAACCAAAACATCAAAATTAATTGAAAATTTCTTTATTGAGATATATTACAATCTGTCACATTTAAGGACAATAATAATAGTGATAAAGAGTAGCTGATTCATACTATGCACAATAAATAAAAATGAATAAATATATAAATAAACATCAATAAATGAATAAATAAATGAATAAATAAACATCAATATAATTATACTAAAAGTAAATGTATATCAACTAAAAGATTCTAAACTAAACATAAATAAACTAATCTAACGAAATAAATATTTAAATACATACATGATTTTATACAATATTTACAATAATCATTTACTCAAGCTCTCCGAGCCTAGCCTTTCCCCACACTCGTGGAGGGAAAGGCAGGACTCTAGGAGATCCCAGCGTCTTTCACTCAGCCGTATCACTGGTATTACCAATGGAGGCTGCGCAGAGAAACTAGTTAAAATTAAACGAAAGATTTTAAACAAGCGAATAAAATACTACTATAATATACTAAAATACTACACTTACCTATTCCAAATAAAATTGAAATTCAGCCAAAAACGAAATATATAAACATAACTTCTCAAAACCATACGTTTCGGTTCATCAAAAAAGACGCACTTTTAAAAATTATAATATTTTCAATCCAAAAGGCTAATAACAGCAGCTTCCTGGTATGCAAACAACAAAACTTTACACATCAAATGATGACAACCAACTATCGACCTACACATACGTAGTCTCTAATACCAATTTCATATAAATAAGCACAACAACAGACATATAAACGACATGGCCACGGCTGATATGCCCATTAGGAGGCGGCTAAAAAGTAGCTGAATGAGAGATCTCCTTTACTCAATCAAGGACATAAACGATGGCCAGGAAGAGGTACTCATGAATGCTATCCTTTCTCTTGCCTACGATAACAATCATTCAGTTGAACAACAAACCTGCTGACTGTTAATATCATGACGATCAAAATGTTTAAAGTTATTAAAAATAAAAAAATAAAAATGAATATTGAACAGAATAATAATAAAAATTGACAAAGTATAACAGATGACATCCGCAGAAGGTTAAAAAAAGAGTTGGATGGGGGTGTCACCAAACATCAATACTAGTCAAGGGTGACTAAACGCTGTGTATTCTTCAATTCTTCGCCTCTCGTATTATTTGTGTTTTAATTTGTTCTACACTGGAGCATTCAAAACTGTCTAGTCCGTGTTACAGACCCCTATTTATCAAATTATTAACATCCGCCTGAACTTCGTAAATAGTTTCATCTTATCGTAACCTACAACTATTTTATTTACGAAAACTCTTGGAATCGGGGCGTTATCAATCTGGAAAGGAGCAAACTTTGTTTATTTAATTAGGTACTAAAAACTCGTAAATATCCACTTGCTTTCTATTTGGGTCTTAAGATAATTTGATAAAAAAAAATCGATAAAAAATTTGGGCTATTTTTCCTATATAACCTCGTTATTTTGACAGTTTGGGGGTGTAAGTCACGCCAAACGGCTTGATATTTTTGAAGGTCACCTTTTTTTTTTTTTATTATTTTGTGATAGAATTAGCTTACAATCTAAGTAGAAATCAAATGAGTATTTACGAGTTTTTAGTACGTAATTAAATAGACAAAGTTTAACCGTCGTTCAGATTGAAAACACCCCAATTCCAGGAATTTTCGTAAATAAAATAGTTGTAAGTTACGATGAGATGAAACTATTTATGAAGTTTCACGCGGATGTTAATAATTCGATAAAAAGGGTTCTGTACGACGGACTAGTCACTCTTTAATTGGACAAAGTTGAATAATATATAATAGGAAAAAAAGTGCAGCCTGCAAATTGATATACTATTGCCAGCAAGACAGTACTGTCAGGTTGGTTTGCCTAACTGCTACAATTGAAGGCTACATAGAGAAAAGGGTATAGGTACACGCACGCACGCACACACGCATGCATGTTTTAGCATTTATTAATAAATATGTATAACAATTTTTAAAAAATCAATATAAAATGTGAATTAAAAGTCTACAATAGGTTGTAAAAAAATTCGAGGACTTTAATTTGCACTCGTAATCTAAATGGACTAGAGGACCTTATACATATTTTGTTTTACTACAATACTGTAGGTTGAGGTCATTTATTGTCAATAAATTTATATATATTAGCAATTTGTTTAAATTAAATTTAGATAGTCAAAACATGTTCTGTTGTATATTATATTTTTTACTTATGTTCTTAAAAATATTTGCATGGTACATATTATTTGTACAGAATTTTTATCATATTTGATTGGGTTGCATTATATATTGTATTATTATATTATACTATATTGTTTTTACTTGAGAAGTGTTTGGAGAGGAAGTTGACATTGTAATCCAATAAATTGTTATTTTTACATTAATTATTAAACGTTTGATACTAATTTATTATAACTATTGCTGATTATTGTAGCCAATTCTATTTGTATGACATACTACCCGAAAACAAATAATCTATACATATGTTTAAAAATAACCATAAAAACCGAATTTAAAAGTTTCCACTAGGTTGGGAAAAATTCAAGGACTTTCATTTTTTGTAGAACAAGAGTAATCATTGAGTTATATGAGAAGAGCGTAACGAAGAAGCTGATTTATATATTCTAAATAGTAAATGGAAAAAAATGGGAAGAGGGGTATAAATGGACTATTCTTGTTTTTTCCCAGTGACCATGAAGGGCAACAAGAATTAATGCCCTCAATATTTAACGCTAGGTTGTCACTAGCGCGTATCACTGCACTTTTTTTTCCATTCCGATTCCATAAATCAAACTAATTTAAAAGTATTTTATTCATTGCGTAACTTTTGTCAATTTTAGAATTATCTTAATAAAAAATTGTAATAAGTTATTAGAATTCAAATTATTCGGTTTATTTATTATTTACATAAAGGAAAATTTATTGTTTTCTTAATACCAAGACCCACTGGTATCTTTAAAATTGTTCACATTTTCAATGTATCATTATCAGAAATAGCTTATGAACCTAAGTCATAATTTTAAACTTATATGAAAATGGTTTATTAAAACGGCGCTTATGTTATAGACAGCAATGGGCAGAAAAACACTAACAATTTTTTTTTTAAGTATAGCTTATTGTTCTAAAGCAACAAAAGAAAATATTGCGACAACTATTAATTAAAAATAATTTTTTTTGTTTCTTAAACTGCATCTCATTATTCGCATCTGCCACAGACGAGCGTAACAATCAACAAATATGAAGGAAAAAAAAATAGTTTTGGCATGGGGAAGGATGTACTGTTATCCAACAGTAACTGTTCCCGTTCTCGACTTATTCCCTTAATTAAGATGAGGAGGTCTCTCATCCAGTTCCTTTTTAGTCGCCTCCTAATGAGCAAGACATTCCTAGTCGTATTGTTTATAACACTGTTGTTATGTCCGTGAAGAATTATTAATGTTGAAAACCAAAATTTCATACCCCTAATTTTTTTTTACATAATTAATATTATGCTATTATAATATTAGTATTAATTTATAGTCGAGTTTGATATATTAAAGTTTTTGAGCCTAAGACCATTATTTGCATTACAAAAATAAATAAATAAATAAATCTAGTGTTATTAGGTTTCAAACTTTAAAACTGGATTTTCTCGAAATTCGTTTCGGACTATTATCTCATTTTTCCTGATATATATATATATATATATATATATATATATATATATATATATAGAGAGAGAGAGAGAGAGAGAGAGAGCTAAGGATCAAAATATTACGCAAAGTGTGGCATATCATCTTTAAGATGCGAAAATGAGGAGTATGTGTAGTGTTTCAGATAGCCATGAGAAAATCACTCACTGCCGCTGAGATAAAGAGCACTTCGAAACGAAACGTACTGTCTTAAGAACGTTTAATGTCATACTAATTAAGTCACTAAATCATACAAAGTATCGAATACGAAAATGACTCATTAATTATTAATAAAAATATCAGCAATGGGAAAACAGATAAGCACATCGTTGGAAACTAATAGAACTTACCTTATACGTGGCATCAGGTGCTAAAAATATAATGGATATGAGACCAATTTTTTATAATCTATATTAGACTAATGTCATAGAAGAGAAACATAGATAGCTCTTTAATTGCTTTTCCTTGTGCTTTACAATATTAATGTTTCGTGAGAGGCGATTAACTGCTTGTTAATATTTTTTAACAGGTGTCGATATTTATAAATAATAAGATGATAACTGCGCTTGTGCGAATCTAGTGATCGGACCAACTTTCCCTATTGTATTTGTTTCCTTGATAATCAACTTGTATGAGCTTATTTATTGATTTTAATAAATATAGAAATAATTTTAATTTTAGGTGGGGACGGAAGACACCGCTGATCATGGCTGGAATTTTACAATTGGTCACTGGCGTGGCTACCGCCTTTATTCCATGGTACTGGGGATTCATCGTCCTCCGATTTATACAGGCTCTATCGGTCGGTGGGACCATGACTATAAGTTTTGTACTATGTGAGTATTAATTTTTAATTTTATTTTGAAAGATAATAATAATTATATAAATAGTGCAAGTAAACATAAGAATAACGCTGGGAACTAGAACGTCCGAAAAAAAAAAACTGAAAGTTATCATAAATTGTTCATTATCTTCTCCTTACTAAATGGTGCATATTTTGTCTAGTTTACAATTAAACTATTATTAATTACTTAAACTAAATATTTTTTAGTTATCATATTATATTAAACGAAAAACATGACAGACTTAAAAAAAAAAAATCACTAACTTCAATTTCCTGCTTTTCTTTGAGAAAGCAGACCATGGCAAATAATATTTTTCTAAGTTGTAGGGTCTACTATCATTTCTTTAATATTTCTCTTTACTTATGGTGAGCTGTGTATGTAATGTATCAATTATATGAAATTCATTGTCAATCTAAATATAACATCGATATCACCAAGATTTTAATTGATTGATATCGAATACTATTTTGTTAATATTGAATTTTTAGAATCATCAAAACGATTAAAAACCTTAAACAAACAAATACAAGGTTTTTATAAAACCTTTTTATAGCATACAAAAATACAATCCCGAAATAGTAACGTCTACTATAAATCAAGAATTGAAACTTTTATGAAAAATTTTTAAAAAGTTCCTTTTTAACATTTTTTGAAACCTATTTAGGAAAAAAGTTCTTAAGATAAAAGTTGTAACGAATTTTTTTGTTATAAAGTTCCACATTTATGGTAAAAGTTTAACTTCTATTTATTCAAGTTCTTACAAAAAGTTCCGTTAAATGAAAAATTAAAAAAATACTTGGGCATTGATTAGAGTTGTAATTTGTCTTAAATGAATTACACATGATTCTAATGTGTCGTTTGTTTGAGTAGTTATGAATAAAAGCAGATGAATCACAATTTATCCAATCGAAGGAAAGTATAATAGGCTAAAATTATAAAACATAAATTAATAAACTCTTTAAAAGATATAATTTATAAATTAAAATGTACTATCTCGTCCAATAGGATAACAACCTTCTGCTCAAAGGATATTGATTAACGGGAGCTTGTTAGTGGCTTCAGACCTTTGACAGCTACATCTTTTTAATCAAATACCTATCAACATCAGATGAAAAGTCAAATGAAAAGAAAAAAAGGGATGATGAAAGGGTAACTGAAATTAATTTCTTCCTGGAAAATCACAAAGTAACTTCAATAGAAACTAATTTATTCCTGAAACCAGTTTTGCTTTAAAATACATGGTGGTCCAAAAACTGTAACCGGTATTATTCTTCAAAATTCCACACTGAAATGATGATGCATTTTCTTAATCAAAATGAAAAAAATATAAAAGTAGTGATATATTAGATGACCAGATTCTGACATGATGCTGACATACTGCCACAACATCCTAGTAAAATTGGCAAAAACACCATTAATGCTCCATATTTAAGAATTACTTCTCTCATATGAGATTAAATAATATAATTTAGTTCAAAACCTAATTTTATAAATTTATATAAAATATTTTATACAATATTTGGGAGACAGTGTGTTCTGAACTCCATGCCTCAATTATCCCCTGAGCAGTTTCTGATAATTATTTTTTATAGCTGAGTGGCCAAAAGAAATACCTATCAACCCAAGGAGCTATCAAAACAAAATGGGAGGTGAAAAATAAAGATATGTCTGCAGTCATTGTATGTATTCAGCAACATTTTGGGGAATGAAAAAACTGATTATACAGACCATTGATAGAAGTAAAGGAGAAATGGGGTGCCTAAATTGAAAAAGTTACTTTAGGAGACTGGATACTAAGCAAAGAAAAGAGTTTAAATTAACATAAGTAAAGCCTAAATGTAGTAAATGGCTCATTAGCTCTCAAATGTAGAGAATGTAAGAACTTATACAGTGCTGATTTGGGATTGGACACTGTCAGTTTAAATATTATTAATATTACCCTTCTAATAGCTATGTAATGCCCACATCTGAAAAATTCAACAATATACCTCAATCAGAGAAACACTTACTGCAAGAATGCCCCCAGTTTGATAAAGACAAAAGATAAATAGACCTATCAGAACCAATAAAAGAAATTCTGCAGGGTAATGGAAAACAAGAAAAAAACAAAATGAATAATCTGTTTAACCTTCTGAAGAGCACAAAGTACTATGTTATAAATTATAGTCAAAGGCCAATTACTGTTTAGCAATACAACAAAGAACAAGAAAAAAAAGAAGTAATTGGTGAAAATAAAATGATCTGATTTGATATAATAAATTTAAATATTAATTAATTAATAACAATTAATACCAATTATTAATTGATACCAATCTTGCAACTCTTGAGGATTGAGGACGAACTTGAGGATTGAAATGGGCAAAAGTGACTACTTCTTGACTCTACAGTATTCTTGGGATACAGCCTTTCAATCTAACATTCCCTTACCGATAAAGTCCAATAATTTTCTGAGAAGGGGAGATTTAGTTTGCCATGCCAAGATAAATAGAATAGATGAGTGACCCGATATTTTTAATATTTGTGTCATATTCTTTTAATTTCTTAATTCAAATAAACAATAGCAAAAGTATTGAAGTAGCAAGAAAATGAAACTGTAAGGCCCAGCTCATGATACATTATTCTGAATTCCTCTTTGAAACAGCCTAATACACAATCATATGCCAACAAAAATACAATCGCGTTTAGGCAAGTCTATTCATGATTTATCATTTCTTGTTGGTAAAATGCAAACTATCTGGGAAGCTAATTTTTAACTGCTCCCTATTTGACCATGCACTACACTTAACTAATCCACCATCAAAGCTCTACAAAATATTCATTAACAAAGTATACATATTTATTAAATATTAATTAGCTACTTCATAACTTAACTTTTGAATAAACTATCAAACATTCTTTAATACTCAATAAAAAATTATCACTTTAATTTATAGGTATGGAGGTTCTGAGTGGATCATGGAGGACTATCATGGCCTCGCTCACGCACATCCCATTCAATTTGGGCACAATCATCATGTCAGGACTAGCCTACTTGACCAGAGAATGGAGGACATTCCAATTAGCCATTTCTCTGCCAATCATTATTATCTTCTTATATCCATGGTATGTGATATAGAATAATAAGATTTGAATATAAGTTCAGTGTCAACAAAAGATATTATATGTAAGTATTGTAAAGGCATTGAATATTGTAGAAGAGACAAGGTATTATATTGCCTATTAGTAATTAGTTGTTAGACTTGAAAAAAAAGTTTTTTTTTAAGCTTGGACTATTATACCAATCTAATACTGGTATGTACCTCCGGTACACAGATATCATATTAATTTTTTAATTAAATAATTTAGTACCTAAGAAACAAATTTTAATAGCTCAAAGTTATGTAAAATTGGCTTCAAGAACAAATTCAAAAATGACATGGTGTCCTTTACCTCCATCGTACAGATTTAGTAACTAAGAAACAAATGTTAATAGCTATGAATTATGGAAAATAGGCCCTCCTAGACAAATATGGACATGATGTTCTTTACATTTGGGATACACATATTAATAACATAATTTTAGAAATGTGTAGTACTAGAACATATAATTTACAATTCACATTAAGAGATAAAAGTTAATTTCACAATCCTAAATTATATTTTTGCAAATATCAGTAGAAGTGACGGCGGAATGCCTTATATGAGGTGCCTACTGAGAAAAAAAAATAACTGCATTTTTTTTTCATTTTCGAAAATTTTATTATTCATTTTCAAGTTGCATATAGTCTTTTGCAGACAAAGTTGTTGCATTTAAATAATTTAAATGAAATAATTTTCTGTTTTTTTATTTTTTAGCTCAAGAACATTATTTAATAAATAGCCATCTTGGAATAATAATTATCATTGCTTTTTGAAAACTGATTTTTGGAGATCAAGACATTTTAATTTTAAATTTTATTATTTATAACTTTACATTTTGACTATTAACTTCATGAAAACAGAGCATCTTGACACTTTATCTGACGACACACCAATTGAAAGTGATATAAAAACTGTAGAGAAATTTAAATACCTAGGATACAAATATTTAATAGAGTGGCACATCCACTAATAATATCGACAGAAGAAATGGTGAAGGAGGAAAGGCCACAGCAATACTCAACAGTATCCTCTGGAGCTCTAATATACAGCCAAGTACAAACAGGCTAATATACAAGGCTTTGTATGACAATAATGACATATGCCTCAGAGACATGGGTCATCAATGCAAGACACCGAAAAAGACTGATAGCAGTGGAGATGGACTTTTAGAAAAGAGCAGCAAAAAAATCAAGAAGAGAAAAAATAAAAAAATGAAAGAATTATGGAAATTATGGAAGTGGAAATAAACATTACAGCAAATATTGAAAAAAAAAAAAAAGGTTATGCTGGTTTGGGCATGTGAAAAGAATGATGGCTGAAAGATTGCCAAAGATATGTATGGAACTGGAAGTAGAAGGGAGAAGGAAAAAAGGATGACTAAAGGTAAAATGGAAAGACGCGGTGGAAGAAACCCTGGTAGGGAATGGCATCAGAGAATAACAAGCCTTGGAGAAGGATGGAAAGACGCGGTGGAAGAAAGCCTGGTAGGAAATGGCATCAGAGAATAACAAGCCTTGGAGAAGGATGGAAGAATATCATAAAAAATGTTTAGGTCAAGGATAACCACAGTAGTGGAAAAGTCCTTATTAAAAAAAATATTTTAAAAACAATTTTTATTTTAAAATGAGGTCATAATATTTTATTTTAGAGGATATTACAGAAAAAAAATTTAAAAATTTTATTGTTTATTACAAACCCAATTCCTAAGAAAAGAGAATAAATTTATGTTTAAAAGTATATCAATAAAATAAGATGTTTACTAAAACATTACTACAAATAGTACACAAAGCCACTATAAAGGTAGACTGACTTGTCACCAATTTTTATTCAATTTTATCAATGGCAACTTTTTTTTTTCCTTTTTAATTTCTGAAGAATTTTAGAATTTCTAGTAATCCCTTATTGTTAGTGGATGACTCAAATATTATAAAATGAATATATTTTACTGGTTTATTATACTTATTATATTTTACTGGTTTATTATTTATTATATATATTATACTACTTTCTTTATAGCAGAAAAAAATGCATAAGACTAAAAACAATTATTATATATAAATCGGTACTTGTGACTGACGCGGGCTCTGCTAAACCCCCCTTCTTATCTTATCTTGTGTTATGTTACGTCATGTAACCTGCCTGTTTATATAGTGTGAGCTGTGTTATGTGTGTTTATTCATTGTGCTTTATTAAAATGGATGTAATTACATTGTGAGAATTGCCGTCTTCAGTAGACGAGGCTCTCAAATAATTTCAAGATCCAGGAATAATTGCGAAGGTGAAATATTGTGATAAAGGTCATAAAATGAAGTTCAACGGGAAGACGAAATGGAGATGCTTTCGTAAGAGTTGTATGAAAAAGGTATCAATAAGGAAAGGGACGTGGTTAGAGGGGTCAAAGATTATGTTTTCAACCGCTTCAAAAGTTATTTATGGGAGGTCTCATAATTTGACAACACAGTGGGTCAAAGAGCAACTGAAACTATTGAATAAATGTATCATAATGTGGAACAAATTTTTAAGAGACGTTTGTGCCTGTAACATGTTATATAGGTCAATAAAGAAAATTGGGGGGCCTGGGAATGTGGTTGAAGTAGACGAATCTTTTTTCTAAACAAAAAAATGTTTTATAAGCCTAATTCTGTGACTTAATTTAGAATTTTAAAATTTAACTAATAATACTGCAGTATATATGGAAACATTTTATGAATTTTGCATTTGATTACTATTTCAAATCCACAAATGTCAAAACAGTGCTATAAAAAAAAAAAAAAAAAAGGAATAAGTTATATACAATAATAATATGAAATTCTTGTAAATAATGACTTTGAAAATTATTTTATATTTTTATTCATTAAATTCCTACCTTTCAGGCTTATTACTGAGAGTCCAAGATGGCTCTTAGCAGTAGGAAGAGATAGAGAAGCTTTAAAGATTCTTCAAGCAGCAGCTACCAGAAACGGGAGACCATTACCTGAAAAAATACCCGAAGTTAAAAAAGAGGTATATTTTAAGTAGTTTTAATATTATTAATTGTTATTTTCCTTATTTAGTTTGAGGATAATATTTTTTAAAAAAACTATTGTTGAGAAATTTCTATTAGATGAAATCAATAAACCTATAATAATGTCTACCTCAATATAAGTAGAAAAAGATGGAACAAGTTTCTAAACCCAGTTTGTCTCAAAGTGGGTGAAACAATACCATCGATGAACTCAACAGTGAGCTTAGAACTTGTCCTTGCACTTCAGAGTGCAGAGGTTATAAGGCTAGTATAAATAAAGTAAGAAAAAGTAAATGTTATAAATTTAATAATTGTGAAAATATACTAATGGTTAATAACTTTATACTTTACAAAATACAGAAAAATCTTTGTTATGCTTCTTGCAGTTGTAATTTTACTATTATTTTAAAAAGTGTGTTTCATAATTAATTTCAATGACTATTATCAGGCCTATTTGGGCCTAAGCATTGGGGTCAGACCACATTAGTTATAATTGATTTTATAGTCTTTCAATGTGCAAATGTTGTTAGTATTAATAATCATACTCAAGAAATTGATTGTTCAATATTTACAGACTAATAAAGAAAACGAAAATGAGAAGAAGCCAGGTGTGATCGATCTTTTGAGAACACCAAATATGAGAAAGAAAACATTAGTAGCATGGTTTTGCTGGAATAATGTTGGTCTGTGTTTCTTCGGCTTGGAACAGTATCTCTCTCAAGTTGGTGGTAACATTTTCGTTAACGTCGCAATATCAGGTAACTTAAATGTTCTTCATATTTTTATTTGAATTCGAAATAATTTTAGAAAACTAACAAAACATTGTTATATTTCAGGGGCCTGTATCATTCCTGGAGTACTTGCTTCTATATTTACAATGGACAAATTTGGAAGAAGATGGACATTATGCGCTGGGCAGTTTACTGCAGCTACTTGCTGTCTTATAATAATTTTATTGCCAAAAGGTGAAGATAAATTCAAAATAAAAGTTACCTTTTAATGTCAGTTCATGCTTCAATTTTAAAGGATTCTTCAGCCATTGATTTTTCTTAACGAATAAATGTCAAGGTATATGTATGTGTGTATGAATAAAAAAAAAAAAATAGATGAATAATTTAAAATTGAAGCAAAACTTGAAATGAAAAGTTAACTTTCATTTATAATTAGTTCAAATTTAACTAGGGTTTTAATTTTTGATTCTTTTTTGTGTTCTTTTAGATCTAGAACATTTTCCCTTGGAATCTTTTAATAAAACGTTTTAGTGAACTTATTTAAAGAACTTCTATTTAAAAGTTCTGTAAAAGCATCCATTTTGCCTAACAGTAAATCTAAAAAGCGGTAATTGTACAGTCTATTCCTTTGTTACTTAAAAAAAGGAAATGTAAGAATCAGTTATATTCTTAGCCTATTTAATGTTTATTTCTGATTTTTTTTTACTCACATCTGTCAGAAGTAATGACAATTAGCGAGTCTGCTGTCGGAAAAATACTTATAGTGGCCTGATCGGTGTGAGGTAAAGGAGTGCCCAGCGGCATACCTCCATTTAACATAACTTTTTAAAAGAACATAAATCAATAATATTTAAACTTTTACAATAAGTCCATAACTTTACTACAAAAACGCCTCTTAGAACATTTATTTTAAAATTTATTTTCAAAAATTGCCTTCAAAAACATTAAAATGAAACATTTTAATGAAGTTTTATAGAAATCTGAAGCCTTGAATTTAAGAATTTACGAATATAATAGTAGTCTAACTACAAGTAATTTTCATATCATTTATCTTAAATAATATATTTATTAGTAATATTTTTACGAACACAGCAATAATTATCAATAACGATAATCAATAAAAGATAATATTTAAACAAATATCTAAATACTTAAAACTGTATTTCTTTGTACAGAAGCTGAATGGTGGCGTGTTACATTTGCTACAATTGGAGTGGCCGGTACTGCTGTTGGGTTCACAACACTATATTTATATTCGACAGAACTTTTTCCTACAGTTGTAAGAAATACTGGCCTTGGAGCTGGCTCCATGTGTGCAAGAGTTGGTTCAATGATAGCACCATTTGTTGCATCTTTGGTAAATATTTAATTCAATAATTAAATTACTAAATATTTATTAAATCAAAGAGATCTTAAAATTATATATAGTATTAAGCAGTATTAAATTTCAAAGAATGATTGGTAATTTATGTTTATTAATAAGTAAGTCTTTACAATGATGTGTTTTAATCCAAATCCTATCTCATGTTTGATAGATAATAATGGAGGACAAAATAAAAAAAAATCTTGTGAGTGTATCACACACTTTCACTTTGATTACAAAGTCTTTGAAGTGAATTTTAAAGCTAACTGTAAAAATTCATTAAGATCATTAAAAAGACACAAAACCTTTTTTTTTTATATTTATGGTAAGCAATAAAAATCTCGTATCTCCATCTGTCTTTTTGAACAACCTAACTCCAGTCTCTGTGGTCTTTATACAAAGAGAGATTTGAAAGTATATCTATAATTTAATCTATTAATGAGTGAGGGTTGTACTACATACTAAAACTTAGAGGAACTAAGTCCGAATAACATTTAAAATTTAACTTTTAAATCTGATAAACATTGTAAAATTTAATAAAATATAGTTACATGGTTTTCATTGCCTATCATTGATAAGTCTGAACTTGTCACACTAATTGGATATTAAACTAAGTGGGTAATGTAATTTCACAAAAGAAGAATTCATCAAATTATCCACTAATGTACTTTCTAAAATATTACATAATGATTTTTTGGAATAACCAGAGGATAAATACCTAGTTATTTAAATACGATATCAGACCAGAAGTTATTAAACTACAGTACATGTACTTAAGGTTATGAACATATGTTGTACCCATGAAATATTTTTATATTTTATTTCTTCTTTCACACAAGTACAATAAAATAGCCTTTTAAACAGATATAATGTTTTTTAAAATTCTCGCCTTTTCAACAATATATTATACATACATATTCTTACGATTATTTGCAGAAATTCATTTTCAACCTGAATTTTTTTTTCTTCACTTTTTAATTATGAAATCCTTTTATAGTTTACATTCTGCCATTTTTTTATTGCTACTGACAATGCGAGAAAACCAAATTAAAGGTACTTTAGAAGAAGCAATTTTGAATATTGATCATTTAAGACCTGTTAAGCTACATCAATGAGAATAAGACCTACGTAGTATTAAATGCCACTTAATTATATATGTACGTTGATATATCAAATATATCAAAATCATTATAGCCATTTTTGAGAAAATTGTAATAATGTGTAAACTTTATGATACAAAGTGGCACTTCTGGCTTGCCAAATTTTCAGAAAAAAGTTGCTGTAACATCCCAAGCATATGCCTACATTAAATACTTATTTTTAGTAGCATAGGAGTATTGGTTTTTTAGCTAGGCTGTTGACATGCACATAGCCCCAAACACATAGAATTATTTTGTGGGACTTGGTTATTTGAACTCAGGGAACATCAAAAGGTTTATTCCATTAAAAACTTAAATTCCAAAATTTTCATGACTACTATACTTTTCTGTACTATATATTACATATAAAGGTAAGTGAAAGTAAAAAATTAACAGCTCTTAAACAAAGATCTTTGAAGTGATATTTTTACACTGGGGTTTATTTGTTTTTATATTTTTAAAAGAAATCTAATCAATTTGAAGCACTAACGGATCCAGGATTTAATTTTGGGGGGAGAGGGGGCTTCAGCCCGAAAGCTTTGTTTTTGGTAAAAATGACAATAATTACATTGGAAAAAAAAAAGAAAGAATCTAACTATCTATATGAAATCGTGTTTAAGTGATTCCTTAAGTCCTTTTAAATGTAATTACATAACAATGATACTTTAAGAGATAATGTTTTAATATATTTTTCCATAAAAAATGGTTATATTTTACCATTTGGGGGGAAGGGGAGGGCTTCAGCCCGAAAGCTCCCCCTCCCCACCCACCATAGATCCACCCATGATTTGAAGAGAACTTAGAAAATCCCCTCTGGCACCGGGATGCGAACTCGTACTTTTTAATCTTCTCAAATCTGTTATCCGGTTGCCAGACAACTCACAGTGCTGTGCACACGCTTTATCCCATTTGGCCACCCCCGGTGGCCAATGAGACCATTCCTTTGGGACACCAACCACCTGGAATTATTATTACTATCACATACTTATCAGTGATGGAAGCTGCCCCTGTATATGTATATGTATAAAATATAAAGTCAAGTATTACAATGAGTGACTCTTTAAAAATAAATCAAGTAGTAACAAGTAGAAACACAACCTAACAATTAGTAGTTTATTACTGGTATATCAAAAAAATTATTGATATATTATTTATTAATATGATAAAAGAAGGAATTATTAGTTTTAGCAATATCAGTATTAAATACAAATTAATATAATATAACATAAAAGCAAAATAAAATGGTCAAAAAATTATTTAGCCATAAAGTAGTTAAATTAAAGGACATGCTAACAGGTAGGTAATAAACTTTGACTTGAGGGACTTAAAAATTTTAATTTGAAATATGAAAAGATAAAGTAACCTATTTAATTTTGTTAAGGATAAATTATGGCATAACGCTCCAGCAGTCATGTTCGGATGTAGCAGTTTAGCTGCTGGTCTCCTTTGTATGCTGCTTCCCGAAACTGTAGGAGCAGTTTTACCGGTAACTCTTATAGATGGAGAGTTATTTACTGGGTAAGTATACTAAATATTATTTTCCAAGAAAAGAATTAAGAGTATAAGTCAAGATATGCCAATTTTATTTTTGGTGCACATAAGTCCCTTTCTTTTCAATGTTTGTTGGCATAGGAGCAGCAAAAACTTAACAAATAGCTAAGTATGATCAATAAAAAAGTTATGATAAAGGGATGCGCCAGACCAGCTTTAAACATTTTCCTGAAAAAGGAGCATTTTTGAATTATTTTCAACATATTTTCTTTGATCTATCATTTCAATTTTTACTTTGTTTTTCAATGATATAATAAAATTTCTTAACTTTCAATAACAGTGATCACTGATCAGTACGGAACTAATATAATCTCTTTGTTAATATGTAGAAATAAAGTATATTTAGCAATAAATAATCCAGATGACCCAGATAACTTCTGTACTTGATTTTCGCTTTTACTTCACGGTACTTTTATTTAATGCCAATATTGTGTGTATCAAATGCCACATTACATTTATATAAAACATAAAAAAGCAAATTTAGACAAGCAATAAAATCAGAAGAAGTTAGAAAAAGAAACTACATGAACATTTGACCGACTAAATCAAAACTGTTAGAATCCTAAGCAAATTTGGCAAAGATAGCTGTTTAAAAAAAAAAGTTATATGATTCTGTAGGTTATGATTTTGCTCTGTTTTAATGTCATACAGCACATATATTTCTTAGAAAATGTTGTAAAAGTCATGATTGAATCATCTAGGCCAAACTTCCTCAGTTTCAATTGTTCCATATATCTGATCGAGAATTTTTCTCTCGATTTCTTGCATTTTCTGTTAGCTAATCTTTGATATAGTTTGCATTTTTTATCCATGTATTAATTCTGGAGAATAAATGACAAAAGTGAATTAAATAAGTGAAATTTTATAGAAGATAGATTCAATGATAAAACATCAATTATTAATTATTGAACAGATAAATTAATGGCTTGGTCTTTTTTTGTTTTGTTGCTAAAAATTTCTTATCTATTTTAGGAAAAAAGAAGAAAAGGAGAAGGGTAAAGACAACAAAGCATACATTGAAGATATAGCAATGGAAACATAACATTCGATCAACACCTTTTATTTTATAACTCAGAAGTGTTATCTCAATGTAAATATATTTGTTTTTCTTATTTGTTTTCCAAAATTGTTAAATTTTTTAAATTATTGTTAAATATTAGCGATTCCAGAAGTATTTCTCTTTTCAAAGCTACTTCCAAAATAATATATGATTGTTTTTATTTTAGTGTTTAAATTTTATATTGTATGTAATTAACATAAATGATCTTTGAACGAGGAGCCAGAAATGAGTAATTACATGTGACTGACCAAAATAATCCTCATTCATTAACTAACAACACAGTATTAATGGATTTAGTTGGTTTTAGTCCTTTAAAGAGGTTTCAATCCATGGATTTTTTTTGTTATAGGTTTTTTTTACGTATATCGTAAGAGCTGTGCCCCACAGAATGTTTTTTTAACATTGATGTATTTTGAAAGAATATAGTATTTTTTATATTTATTATTTTATAAAATCAAATGTGATAAGAGATATTTATATTTATTATCTTAGTAGGTTGTAGATACTGTAAATGTCTACATATATTTTAATAAAGTTAAGTTTTGATAATTTGTTTATTTATTTCGTAAACTCTGATTTTCCCAGTACCTATAATGTTAAAAAATATGTAATGGTAAAAACAATTCTATAGCTACCTCTGCAAAAAAACATGTATATTTTAAAAAAGAAATGTCTCCTCTAACAGAAAAAATCAATAAAAAAAAAAATGAATAATGGAATGCATTATATTGTGTTAAAGGTTTTCCCATGTTCAACTTGGAAACAAGATTTAAGCTAAGCCCAAGTTATGATTGGATTCCCATAAAAAAGAGAAAAATTCACATTTTTTTTTTTTAAATATGATAATATGTAGATAAAGATTGAACTAAAAATTGCCTCTATCATTCTTTAGTAGTAGTGACACTGTAAATTCACAGGTGAAACTGTGAATGAAAGTAGCATAACCACAGTCAAGGTATGTTCCATGTTGCACCAATGGCTATGTACAGGTTTGAAACATTGAACTATATGATGTTTTTAAGTTGAATATTTATGTGAATTGAATTTGTTAAATGTGAGATCATTATTTAATTATTTTATCTTTATATTTTATCATATATATTATAAATGATATATTTGATATATATCATTAAAAAAAATATTGTTATTTAATTTAATTTTCAATAATACATGACACAAAAATGTAATAACTGAATTTGAAATCTAAATATATACATTTTACACACAATAAAAAATGCTGCAAAATAAATAAAATCTTTATAATGAAATGCTTCTAACAGTCCAAGGATTGAAAATTTCCAAAATTGGCCACTAGAAGAAAATTTGGTCTGGTGAAAATAGTTGATAACTATAGTTCATAACCAGTCTTGGTTTAGTTGTATTCTAGAGATTGGGTTCATTAGTTAGAGTCGTCAGTGAGTTTACTTTAGCCTTAGTCTGTTAACATATGTTCAACTCCTCTATAGCTTTCCCATTGGTATCAAAGTCCTGAACTAGAGAAATTCAAAGAGCTAGCTTAGTCTATTCCTGATAAATTCATCCACTGTCTGTGGTTTGAATGTGATCAGTTGTTTACCGAATTTTATCCTTTGTTGTGAATTATGTCTCATAATCTAGGTCAATACTCCCTTCAAATTGATAAATGTAAATAGATATGAATTCTATTATTTATAGTTTACAAGCTGGACAGAGACCGCAGGTAAGGTGTATAAGTTAACCAATAAATTCAAATGCAGTATAATTAAATTTAGACAAATGTTACATACAATCAGCAGATGGATTAGACATATCAACTAGTAGATTAGACATACAAACATTAGTATTTCTAATAATATCAATAACTGAAGTGCTTACTTTTTTTACTTTCACTTACCTATATATGAAATATATAGTAAGGGACAGTTTTGAGATTTCAAAAAAAATTTTCAAATCTGATTTTTCAAAGGAAATACATGTTTTTAGGTCTCCTGATTCCAAATAACCAAGTCCAAATGATGTGTGTGTATGTAACCAGTCTAGCTCAAAAACGAAAATTTGTATGATAGTGAAATGGCATATTTAAGGTTTGTATATACCTGAGATTACAGCAACTTTTTCGTCAAAATCGGTTAATTTTCAACAACTTTCTCTGCTATAACAAAACTGCACTTTTTGTAGAATAAATGAAAGTATTTCAACAGGACTTCTCATGTGACTTCTGGCATTTTACAGATTAAAAAGTAATTTCACCAAGATAACTCTCAATATACAATGTGATTAACTACGAATAATCAAAATAAAAATAGTAATTTCTTTTCTCCATACCTTTACATAAATCTAATTAGGTAAAATTCCTGGCTCTGGCAGTTGGGACATTTTATTACTCCAAAATTTGTCGAATTTCTTGTTTAGTTGCTAAAATAATTTTCTTTTGTTTCTTTTTTTTTTTTTTTTTTTTTTTTTGTATAAATTCTCTTTGTTGATTAAATAAGGACAATAATGAGTAGATATCCTCCAAATATGTTTAAATAGTGAAGTAACATACGCTTTATTTACTTTTTAATTGTACGTTGATATGTATTATCATTATTAAAATTTCAATCAGGATTAACCTCTTAACCGTTTAGCAGGCGTTAACTTAGAATGAAATACATTTTTAACAAGATAATTACCACTGAAGTGAATTAATCAACAGGTCATTTTAAAGTGTACTGTCTCTTGTATGTTAATCAAATTTAATTACAGTCTATCTAATGATAAAGTTACTAAATTCTGAAAGTAATAATATAATATTAATAATAAAATAAATGACAAATAACAAGATAATCAGGATATCTGATTATTTGGCGTCCATCTGAAAATTTGGCGGTCTGACTATCTACCACGAAAAAACAAGCAAATTCAAACTACCGACATAATATAAATTTCTTGACTTAGTAAAATTTAATTAATGTAGTTATAATATATTTTTTTGTAATTGGACAATTAGTTCAGAATTATGTAAATATAGAAAAATGTAACGTTACTGAAAAAATAATAATGTATCAGTGAAATAATGACACATCAGCATGGGGAAGAACAATACCTATTGATATCTCTTCCATCCATGACATTAGGTGAGGCAAAAAGTATAGAGAGGTTGTCCCCCCATCCACATCCTAATATATTATATGTAATAAATACTATAATATTTTTACGATCGACAAATTTGTCAGATAAAATTCCTCAGCAGACAAAAAAAAACTAAAATCAACAGCCATTTGACGACCTTTTGTTTGGCTTAGACCTTTAGGGAGAGGAGGAGGGGGGGTTAACTAGAGCTTGCTATTGTACCAGCACAATGGCTCTCGATTGGAACCTGACTCAGGCGCCCTCCAAATTGCTATAAATTCGGAATTTCATTCAAAATAGTCGATTAGGACTACAATGGTGAATAAATCATAATTTTCCATGGCTTTATTTTTTTTTTTTAAATAAACAGCTTAAAAAAAACGAAGTAAATATTTTTCATTATAATTATGAATAAACTCTATTTTTGACTAATATATAACCGAGTGCGAGTCACTAATATTTATATCATTATCCACTAAAATTATGTGAATAATAAAGGAGAATCAATCCAGTGTAATAGTGGTTAGCGTCAGAAAACGAACCTTTGATTGATGAATTCGAAACTATTCACATCGAATAACTGGGGGAACATGGAGAAAAAAATCGAGTAAATTTAATCTGTAATATAATTGAAGTGATAAAGAACGTTACTAAGATTAAGATATCAATTTTTAAACAATAAAAAAATGTTTCATATTTAGCTAAGAACATACAGTGGAAATGTATAAAAAATCTCGGAAATGTGGTGGGGACTGCAGGGTGTGGCTTATGTTCTTTGCAGTGTGACGTGTAACGCTTCCAAATACGATATTGTTAAAGTGTCTCTCAGCTCTAATGTATTAACATGTATTTATAAAAGCTATTATAATATATTTGAAACTAAATATTTTAATTCATATTAAATGCCAACTTCATCATGGCAACACATCTGCTGATTGTCATTACCATGACAGGTGCGGATAAACAGTTAAAGATAAAAAAAATTCAGAGACGATAGTGTGAGGGAAAAAAACGGAAAGAGATTTCTTGGGTAGAAGTTTGGAGCTGCAAACACTATTCTTCACAGATTTCAAGAAAAAGATTGAACAGTTTTTGTCCAAATCATAGTATTGGAATATTCTCCCTTATCATTGAAGCTTGATAGCGAAATAGCCAGAGCTGGCAGGATTTAGCATACTAAAGTACATAAGAAACAAAGCCAAAAGCATTCCAGGAAGAAAAATAAGCTTTTGAAATTAACAAATAAATCTTAAAATCTCGGATTTCTTTCATGCAGTTGACTCAAATGTACAAATTTTGAATATTCCAAGGTACAGGTATATCCGTAGATCACCAATTTAATTTATTTTATAAAAAATGTTTGTAGGAACTACTTTACAAAAAAATATAGATTTACTTATTAAATTTAAGGTGCATGTCAAATACTTAATATCATGAATTAAAAGAACTAAAACCAAAATATGAAGCGAGAAGGACAACAAATCAGAAGAAAATATTGGCAAGATGAAATTATAAATTTTCGACAGGCGGACATATATCTTCATAACCATAATCAAGTACAGATATTAAAGACACCTTATATCTGCAAGAGATTCTGATGCTGTTAAAAGTTGAACTGTAGAATAGTTTCATTACATTTGATCTTTTCGACAATTGGAACAACAGCTCATCAACGTGTACTTTCCAAGATAGTCTTGAACTAAAAGTTTCTCCAAGATATCGAATATAGTCGTGTTTATTCAGTTGTCGATTTCCTAGGCATAATGAAAATGGTTGGGAGGACTTCAGCATTCGGTAAAAATGAACTGCGGTTGATTTGTTATAGATAAAAAATCCGCTATTGGAGGCTCATTTTCAAGACTGTGGAGAGTTTCTTTCGTTAAAGATTTTCCAAATTTAAAGAATTTACTTGTATTTACTCTAACGGTTCAAAACAATTAGATCAAATTGGCTATTCGGTTGTGATACATACAGAAACCATCTGGTATAGGCCGATTTAGGGAAGGGGGAGGGAGCTTTCGGACTGAATATCTCTTTCTGGGTGCTTAAAACTTTCGGGTGTCATTATCGCAAGCTGCGAAGAAATATAATTCAGTTACAACTATTTTAAAAACTGGGGATGTTCTTTTTATGACAAAGAAAAAAAAAATCTTTACCACTACAACACAGGATAACGATGTCTTGGATTCAGTACTGTTTTTCATGGCCAACGGTTGTGCAAAGAGGTGATTCAACCGAGATCCCGCTCAACCACCAGTTTTTTCCCCTTAATTAATTATATAATTAAGAATACCCACTTTACAGAGGCTGGGCGTGTGTACCAGGAGGGTTTCCCGACCCACAGCCAACGAGACAAAATAAATAATTTATCTGCCATCTGCCGAGATTCGTACCTGGGACCATGAGCACTCAGCGCTCTACCATTAAGCAATAATTTATCTGCCATCTGCTGAACTAGA